CGGAAATACTATGTCCGTATCGGCGGCAATAATTACACCATTTTTTGAAAGATGGTTTGCCTTTAAAGTTCGGGTTCTTTTCGTAAATATTGAGTATTTCAGTGATTTTTTCAACGAGGTCTGTTTCTGATTCCTGTATATTATTAATATTAGTGGGAGTCGTTTCAATTTTGTTAACGTATTGTAATTTCAGATTTTCCGTTTCTTCTAGTTTCATCGTGATTTCTGCTTGTTCTAATTTGTCTACTAGTTTTCGAAAATCTAAATCGGGTTCTCGAATTGAAGAAGGATGGGATGCTCTCTTTTTTATTGCTATTTTCCTTAATTGTGGTGTTAAGGTCATCATTAAGATTTCTGTCATCTTTGTGTTTTTATAGTCATGTGTATTTAGTGAGTATGCTTTTCGAACTAGTGTTTCGATTCGTACTGCTATTTGCTTGATGGTTTCGTTTGGTAATCTGCGAATTTCATTACATAAAACTCTTTGTTGTTGTTTGTTTCTTTCGGAGTCAAACATTTTTGAAAATTCTTGTGTAAATCTTTTCCAGTTTGATTTTATTTCTAGAGGTAGTACTGAAAACCATTTTTGGGCTGCGCCATCTAAGGTTGTTTGTATCAACGCTGTGCGTCGATGTATCCAGTTTTGATGTAGTGGCGTATTAATTGGTTCAGGTCCTATATTTAAAATCAGGTTTGCTGTTACTGCATTTAAATAATCTTCTACAGAGTATTCAGGGTCTGTTCCTGTGAAAACCATTAAAGGTTTGTTTGATGTTATTGATGATCCACCCATAAGGTATGGATTCATTGTCATTTGTAATGATTCTGCTGCATTTGGCATTTGAGAAAAATTTGAAAGTTGGTTTCTTGTTATTTCATGTTGTTGGAGATAATATGGGAGTGGTATTTCATTTTGCATTTGTGATGCTTGATACGAGTGTGCAGTCATTGGATTTTGTTGTTGAATTGGTTGAAAAGATTGTGTATTAATTGGATTTTGTTGTTGAATTGGTTGTTGATGTTGTGCATCTATTGATTGTGGAGAAAAATTTCTATGATTTGTACGTGTTCTCTGTATTCCTTGTCTACGATATTCTTGAGTATTTGGTGCAAATATATCTGGTTGTAAGAAATCGTCATCTGAGGATAAATAATCCATTTGATAAGATGTTTGTTTTTTATTTTTATTCTGTTGAAAAAATGGGTAATTTTCACTGCGATCCTGTGGAGGATTTGGTTGAAAATTTTTGGAATTATATTGGGCCGTTGGGTTATCCCAGTTTCGAGGTTTTGTATATTGATTAAAATTCCTTTGTGGTTGATAATTTGTTTTTGATGGATGTGTATAATTATAATTATGGTCTGCAAAGTTGTTTTTAGTGAATGTTTTGCGTGTTTTTGATGGTATTGTCATGGGTCTGTATGTTTGGTAATCCATATGGGAATATTTTGGAGCAACCGAAGGTTTAACGGTTGATTGTAAGGTTACCTGTGTTTGTGAAGGGTTTGTATTTCTTGGTGTTGTTAAATTTGGGCGTATTGGTGAAATACTTTGTTGTGTAGTTGTTGTGTGTACAATTTCTTCATTTATGAAGTGTGATGGTGTCTGGATATCTTGTTGAGTAAGATTCCTAGTTCCATTGAGGTTTTCATTGTGTATAACTGTAGAGTTTAAACTATTATTTTGTGTATCGGGTAAAAATGTATTATAGTTTAATGGTGTTGCATCAATTGTTAATGGTATTACTCTTACATAATCTCTTATGTAAGATATTGTACCTATTGCTTGACTTGAGATTGATTGTGGAAAGCTTATAAATGCGGGATGAGACCATTCGGGGTCCCAAACATAATCTGATTGTTCTGTGATAGCGGTATCATCGTTCGAGTTTTGGGGTCTAAAATTTTTTCTTGCTTGTGCAATTAAATCAATATTGTGTGTGAAATAATCTATTATGAACCATGCTAAAATTTTTTGTAGATCGTGTTTGGTATGTTGTGAAACGTCACCTTTCGTGAAATTTTCTTTAATGATGTTTAAATAACTAGAGAGTAGTGTGATTTCATGTCGTACTCTTAAATGTTTAGATGTTTCTGTCGGTGAGACATTTGTTATTGGGATTTCGTTTTCTAATATCGAAATATAACTATATATTATTGCAAAAACTTCATTGGTGAATATGGAGTTTGCTCTTTGTGAGTTATGATATTGGATGCTTTTTATATATTCTGAAAAAACTTTTGAAAATTCTAAATCAAGATCGTCTGTTTGAATAGTATATGTTCTATTATTATGGTTTGGGGAAGTGAATTCTATGGAGTAGATTCCATACTGTTGTGTTATGTTGCATATATCTTTTAGATAGTGATCTATGATTTGTCTTTTGATTTTTACATCGGGGAACTCTGTTTTACATGGACTGATTCCGGGTTCAAATAAATTTACGAGTAAATTTTGACAAAATATGTGTTGTCCTCTATCAGTATCTGCATCTACTATAAAAGGAAAGATTTCATCATCATCTGGAGTTTCGTCACCTGGAGTGTGCGTTGAGCTCATTTTTTCGTTCGATGACTGTTAATATGTAATTATTAATGTGTCGAATTGGTTGATTCCAATTGTATAAATGTACTGGTTTGTGTTTGTACTGCTTTTTTATTCTTCTTTTTCCTCTTTGTGATGAATTTGAAGTTGTTTCTGAGTCAGAGAAATATAATTGATCGTGAAGTGGGCAATTTTTATCTATTGATTCTTTTAGTTTGTAAAGTTCGTCTAAACTGTTGGTTTCTGATTCTGAAAATGCGTTTCGATTTTTTGAAAATCTTTTTCGTGTTATTTGTCTTTGTTTAGTTATTATTTTCCTCTTTAGTGTTTGTCGTTTTGTGCGAATGTATCCAACTGTTTGTGTATGAGGTGTGATTACAAGGTCGTATTTTTTGTTATCTATTTCACAATTGTGTAAAATGATTGTTTGTTTATTTCCTAGGTTTTTAAATGACATAAGGTTTAGAATGACGGATGCAAAAAGTTGTTAAATGATTTCTATTTTCTTAAACTGTTAGTTCTTACGATTTTTTGGTTAGCTTAACCTGGGTCTATTTGTTCAGGGTTGGAGAGAAAAGTATATCGATTCCGAAGAATGATTTTTACTTTCTCGTGACTAGTATAAGCTAAGGTGTTAACTTACTTAATCTTACTTAGGGGTAGTGATTGTGTTCAAGGGTTGGAGAATAGTAAATCGGTCCACAAGGTTCAGGTATAATTAGAACGCGAGTAGTTCGTTAGATACTATTTTAAACTTACTAAGTCTAAGATTTATCCTGGGTCTGGTAAGAGGGGGGGTCAAGTGAAGGATGAATAACCGAAGTTCTTCACTGTTTATCCTAATTTGAATGATTAGTTTTGTTTAAAAATTTCTATTAGTCTTGGGTCTTTAGAAAGGGTTGGGTAGTGAATCGACGTTTGAGGTCGTTAGACACTAATTAAGTGGGTGGGGGAGAACAAAGTTGTTCTGTTTGATCCAAGGATAAGCCTTGATGATCAAATTTGAGATTTTAATTAAGTAGAAAATGATTTAAGATCCAAGGATAAGCCTTGATGATCCGGTTTTAAAATTAAGTGAATTTAAGTTTTGATAAATTTTTAAATGTGTGTAAAGGAAAGATTTAGTGTTTTATGATGTTAGTGAGTTGATGATTGCTGTTATGTTTTAGATGATGAAGCTGGAACAACAGGATGATTTATGATTACTAACCATTTATTGTCATGCTACTAATTTTTATTTTTATTTTCCAATAAATATTTTTCAAACATGTTTTGTATAATACTGCAGAGTTTTAGGGAAACGATCTTAGATCTTTTTATCAATCGTTATTGTATAATATTAATTTTGTTTAGCGCCTTAAATGATTTTGAAGAGTAATTTCAAGGTTTTATGTTTGCAAATGGAAATCTAAATTCATTGCAAGTAGTATTCGAAATATAAAAGTTTGTTCTGGCTTTTGCCGAACTATCATATAACTATACGGCAAGTTTCTACTTTGTCGTATGTCGTCTTTGGTTCGAGGTCTTCTTCCAATTCCGGGTAGTTCTATTATGGTTCGGAATATTGGCTCTGATCTATTGAGTCGGAGAGACATTTCAATTAAATTATTGTCGTATAACATTTTGTAAATGTTTTTGTCTAATTTCTAATCTATTTTTGGTTAATTCTAATCTAGTAAGGTCTTGTTCGAGACTTATGGTCGCACCAGATGAGTTAGGACCGAAGTGTAACTCATAGAGTAATTTCAGATAGGGTACACCGTCTGCTCGTCACGCTATCTTATTTTCGGCCGGATAGATTCGTGCAACTTCTTAGTCTAATACCGATCCTAATCTTACTCTTATACTATCTAGTCTCAGGTTGTTTAACTAGTCTCTGCTAGGCTCAATAGATCTAGGGTATACTGGTTTATTGCGGCTGCTGAAGTGCTCGGGAGAGTCCAACTAATTTCTAAGTTAAATTCAAATCTCTCTGGTGCTGAAATTACAAGTAACTTCAGCACTTACAAATAAGTGGGTTGTTAGTTAGATGGATCATGATTGGTTAATATTAAATACTTTACATTGGTAAAACATTTAATTTATCCAATCATAAAATATAGTTTAGATCAGGTTCCAAAAAAATCAACTGAGTTCATTTGAACTGAACGCTATGAACTTCTCTGAATTGGATTGTCTGACATTTTTGCTTTTGCTCAGTCGAACTGTTGTTCAAAAAAGTCGTTTTCAATCATTAAAACTGGTATTTCTTTTATACCTCGATGAATTAGACGCTTTTAACTTTATGTCCTTTTTTCGAGGGGTTAATTGTGTTAAAACAGGAAATGGTTTTTCACTAATCTGAGCTTTCGAAATTCACGCAGGAAAAGCCACCCGTTGCCCTTAACAACACCTTTTTGTAAAAAGCCACGAATTCGTCATAATTTTCTAATGGAATAAGATTATGTGCCTTTGTTAACACCGTTTTCCTCTCATACCATTTTTTTCCTGTAGTATAACAGAATTCACTGTTAAAAACCATTTGGGGAAAAATAAACATTGTTTTCTTTGCATATATCAAAATGCGGCTTATTTCCTGTCACTGTTTTACTTTTACCGTAATTATCAGATAGAAAACAGAAAAATATTTCTTTTTGTTGGTTTTAATGAATAAGACAATAATGAGGACAACAAACCGCTAATTCGCCGTGTTTATCATTATTTAGCCACTCAAAAACCCAATCAAAAAAATGAAAATTCCGATAGTCGCAATCCAAAGATGCATTCAAAAGTCTACAGAGTATATATATGATAAATTGCACTTGAGGTTAATTGATGATTATGTTTTGTACCCCATTGCTCGCATAGTTCTTTCCTTCTTTGGTCAACTTCACTTAATTGATTAATATTTAAAAATATTTCATTTTTTTAACTTCGTTTTCAAATTCATATATTGACTGGATGATTATTCTTAACGTCAATGCTACAGAGTAAGTCTAGTCTGCATTACTTTAATGGACATCTTTAACTATATCCCCCTAAGGGTACCTAGTAACGAATATTCTCCCAATAAAAACAAGACTCGCCGCATCAGGGCAAAGCCCTGAATGTTCCGACTGCCTTTTAAGGTCTATGTAGCAGTAATAACACAAAAAATTAAATGTAATAAAAAAAAAAAATTTCAAAATTAAATTTGAAATTTTTTGTGAAAATCATCCCCTCACACGTCATATAAAGTACAAAGTGATAGTCTTCGCTCCTAGTAACAAATCAATTATGGCAAAAAAAAATCTTTTTCAGCCAAGTTGGAACAATCTCTAAGACTAAATTTCAGATTTCTAAGATGAAATCTTCGCTTACGCGTTAATGGCGCGAATTAATTTTCTCAAATTGGCCGAAATGGCAGTTTTTAAACCCCCATAATAATAATCACAAGTAAAATATATTTTTTTCAAAATTAAGCTCAGGGCAACAAAACCTTTTGAATGAAATACAAAAAATCCATCAAAAATGGCTAATTAAAAAGTCGAAATTTGTCTGAAAAAACCACCCCACCCGCACTAGAAATCAATGGAGTATCCATAAAATTTCAAAGTCAGTATTGTGTAGTCAGTATCCATTATTTTTCTAAAATTTCTTATATCAATATAATCCATTATAATCGATTAGAATCAATTTTAATCCATTATAAAAAATGATAATCGATTATAATGTTTTTTGAGAAGAATTTGTGATTTTGCATATTTTTTAAAAGTTATCTTTTTCTTGTTTCGTGCAGTGCAATACGTTTCATAAACTCTAAATTTTCACATACGATTTTGTTTGTTTAAATTTTTTCTACTTTTTTGGATAGGGGTTAAAGTGAGGGGGGTAATTTGTGTAGGTTTAGATTGCGAGTAGGCCATGAGTAACGCAGAAATATTGCAAGTTTTGCAAATATTTTGCAAAAAGTTGTTAAGATTATAATCAGTTAGAATCACCTATAGTCGATGATAAATGGATATAATTGATTATATTGGATTTTAATGGATTCTGTTCTTACGGAAATAATCGATTATATTGACAAAATATTCAATTTCGTGGTCTAAATTTGCAGCAAAATGGATTATAATGACAACACTTTGGCAACAATTTCCCATTATAATCGATTATTATCCATGGAACTCCGGCGCGGGCGAGCACAAATATTCTGCTACTTTCTTTACGAAAATTGGAACAAAGAATCAACGGTTAAGCATATGAGAACTTTAAACTTAGTAGGGAATCTCCCCCTTCTGCAAAAGGGGGGCGGGACATAGTTTAAAAAAGATCCACTTTAGTTTCTCGGGAATTATCAGCTAATGTTATTTTATTACTTATTGCCAACACTGTATAGTATGCTCAACGATGCCCAGACTTTTGCTTGTTTGTAAAATTTTTTCGAAATTTTCTTTTTTTTCCCTAAAGAATGGATGCAGTTTTTCAAAACAAGTGCATCGGCTGTATTTGCTTTTGTCTCGGCAATGTGATATAATTTGGCATTTGCAGTTTGTTTTTTAAACTCAAGTTTTCTTTGATATTTATTAACGCTTTCAATATCAGTTTGATTTTTTTCTTTAGCTCAAACTAAGTGACATTAAATCATGATAATGGAAAGATCCTTGCGCTGATAATGTTTCAAGTTTTCACATTCTAGAGAATTTCTACTGAAGTTTAATAAAATATAAAAAGTATGATAGGTTAAGAGACTTAGACAAAGATTAACATTTAAAAAAACTTGTCGGTTGTCTCAATAATTTTCATATTTTCTGAGAAATTTCATAGTCAAGTGCAAAGAAAAATCTCGGTTGGGAATTTTTCCGATCATGAGAAATTTGACTTCACAGCTGCGAAATTGGCGCGTTTTAAACCAACGTTACGCAAGACTACTTTAATCTGAACCACGTGTTTAACTACTATTAAGTCTGTAAGTTCAAATGAAGTATGTTTGAACGCTAAATTTTTTTTCAAAATATCGTATTGGCGAAACTTCGATGTTGAATCTCAAACAAAAGGTAACTTTGTTAGGTAAACGCAGTGGAATAAGATAGCAAAAGCACTCTCTCACCAATTATTTTCGAGGCTTAGTTCGTTTATCTAAGTCTGAAAACGAAAAAAACTCTTGGCAAGTTTTCTCGAAGCCGAAACATTTTTTTAAAGATTTTTAATCAGAAAAGGACCATTAAGACTTTCATTTGATACCACAAAATTGCCTAACAAAGTTTCTTTGAGGTAGAAAACAGCAATTTGAAAGACAAACTCTCTACGCCAAGCAACATTTTTACGCCTAGCCACATCGTGAAGTGGTCTGACCAAAAAAAATACAAGTTGAGGATTCAAAATCAGTACTTTCGCCTACAATACGTGCTGTCCTCGAAAAGCTTCCCTCATCTTCCTAAAAACCTCATCAGCAACTTTCTGCTTAGTGTCAAATGTTTAACGAACAGTTTGAATTCTTATTTTTTCAAACACAATGAAAAATGATTCAAATTTAAGGTACAAACAAGTTTGCCGCTTGCTGTGCAAGTAGCACAGAAAGTTCAAGCTATAATAGAAAAAAATTTCTAACTATACAGTGCTGATTTAAATTATCCGGACTAAACGAACAAAACTTGAATTTTCAAACGCTTTTTTCTCAAATTGGGTTAAGATTAGACAAAAAGTGAAGAGAACAAAAGTTGCTTAGAATTTCACCAGAATTAATATGATGCCATTTTTTCTCCGAAATTCTCAACCAAAATTTTACTCCAAAAATCGGACATTTTGGTTTTTTTCAATTAATCAAGAATTACGCTGAAACTACTTTGTTAATTGATAAGAATATTATATCATTAGAAGCCTCTCACGCAGCCCAACAAAGTTTAAGAAGGGATAAATCTCCAAAAACCAGTATAAGAGAAAAAATTTTCACTTGATAGTCAATAAATGTGATTTTTACTATATAAAACCCAGAATCTTTGCTTAAAAACATTTTTTACACAATTTGCGCAAATTTTTGGAGAATTAACCCTTCTTAAATTTTGTTGGGCTGCGTAAGAGACTTCTAATGAGATAATATTCTTATCAATTAACAAAGTAGTTTCAGCGTAATTCTTGATTAATTGAAAAAAAACCAAAATGACCAATTTTTGGGGTAAAAAAATGGCATCATATTAATTCTGGTGAAATTCTAAGCAACTTTGGTTTCTTCACTTTTTGTCTAATCTTAACCCAATTTGAGAAAAACGCGTTTGAAAATTCAAGTTTTGTCCGGATAATTTAAATCAGCACTGTATAAGTAACATCTGAAAAAAACTTAAAAACTTTGATAGTTATTGTCAATTAGTCATATCTGACAACAATTTTTTTTTCGATTTCTTAAATGTTATTCCCAAAAAAGCACTAAAAAATTTGAAAACTTATTTTACCGGATTAAAACTAACTTTTTACGACTTGACTTGATTTTGAAGACTTTTACTATAGCTTTATTATACGCCGATTACAAGTCTGTTATAGTGGATTTTTCGCTTGAAGTTAAACTAAAAATTAAACTTTTCAAACTGGTTTTTTTTTACCTTGGGTTTTTCTTCGAAATTTTTGAAGGTCGTTTGAATCACGACTGAAAGAGTTTCATTCTGATAAAAGCGTCGACCTATTCCATTTATCGTTTACGGTAGCCCATAATGCTTGGAAAACAAACAACAGCAAAAAAATGAAAACATTTTCAATAGTTGGAACAAAATTGGGAGAGCTGTTAGCACGAAGAGTTCTGATTGAATCATTAAGTCTTTGGGATTAAGAATCATCATGTTTTCAAAGTATTTTACCTAGAACTTTCCGAGGGGCTAGAGGAGAATTTTTTTCAGACGCTGAGCTAGCTATTACATAAGAAGAGTTTTTTAAAAAAGTGAGAATATTTTTTCTAGGTTAAGCAACTTCATTTTTTGAGCCCTCTCAGAACACTAAAACACTAGTTTTGTATTTTTCTTTTACAATTTTTTGTACCAAAAATTTTGTCAAAATTACGTTTAAGAACACTTTTGAAGCGATTTTTTGTGGCAGGAACCTTTGGGTGGCCAGGCGGTCGAGGATTCTATTAACAGTTCTATTAAGTTCTGAATATGCCAAACATTTTCACTTTTCCCAAAAATTGTTGACATTTTTTTCTAATTAAAAAGTTGTGGTTATTACATAAAAACTAAAAATCAAGTGCCCACAAGTTTGATTGTATTGAAGCCCTGGCTCTGAATCATTGGAGGTGAAAATTTTATCGCGGTTACGTTTCTGCTCAAACAAACCATTGATTTTTTTAATCAAATACGCAGTGTCTAAGAAACCAAAAATGTTTCGTCTCGGATTCATTCATGATTCTATTCGAATCCAGATTGCTTAAGGCCACATTCATTAACGTTTATGCGATATAAAAAATCAAATTTCACTGACTGGATAAAAGTTGTAATTAATTGGACAATTTTCATCAAACTACCATTTTACAAATCTATAACAATGATTTTTTTCGCTGAAATAGTTTGAACAAAAAACCTGTCCGATTAATAATATATTTTTTTTCGAAGTCAGAATAAAAATGCTTAAAACCGCATCATCCGCTTGCTCAATAAAAATCAATTTTTTAAATGCGGTTTTGTTTCCAAAATTACCACAATATCAAAGTTGTCACTATTATGATATTAGATTAGAAATTCTTCAGTTGCAAATCAGATTCAAAACAACTAAATAAATCTCAGTGTCCATAAAATCAGGTCTGACTTCTAAAATCGGGTCATAAAATTTGGTGTAACAAACAGTGGATGCTAAACAGATCTTTGTTACAGAGAACAAACATTCATAAAAATAGTAGTAATGATAATCATAATAGTCATCATAAAAACTTTGATTTTGATCATAATCATTTTCGAAATGATCAGAAAGAGCATAATAATAATAATATTTACATTATTTTGGGTCCAATTATATATTTGGTTATTTTGCTTTTTCTCTTTAAAAAGGAAAAATAAATTTTATACTTTCTGGTATTTGTTGATTCGTTTTTCAAAGAAACTGACCTAATAATTCTGCTCGGTGTCGTTGTTTTTGTCCAGACAAAAATCAATTTTGTAATTATTCTGATGAAATTTTTTGTAATCAACCAACAGCTATTGAGCTCACATTTTCAAATACTTTTTCGGAGTTAATTTTTTGTATGGCTATGGGAGTTTAGAGGTTGTCCATTTGGCCAATTTGGGAAAAAAATGCATCGGATATTTTTCGTGTTATAAATATGTAATTGATGATTTCATTTGTTTTAGAAATCTTTCCAAATTCAATTGATTCTAATTGGTCTAAATAACGGGTTTCTGTATAAAAAATTTGTCACTTTGAATTTTTTATAGCGTTTGGGAGGATGACTTGATGCGAGCAGTCTTGATTTTTTCTATAGTGGTAGCATTAGCTGGAAATTTCTGCAAACACACTAGCTGATTATCAAGAGTAGGTTGAGAGAGGTTCCAGAATTGAAAAAAAAATGATTAAAAACGCCTTGGTAATGAGATTTTACTCAGTGTTCCGATTTTCCAGGAAAGTGCGGAATATTTTTTGCTTGGGACGATTTTCTTTTCAGTCAAATTTTGACTTTTTAACTCAGCGTTTATGATATCATTTGCTTGCCATTAAAAAATATATTGCTGTCTGGAGCTCATGGAGCTCAGATGTTTAAAAAATACTTATTTTTTGTTAAGTTACGGGAATTTGAAGGTTAGCAATGTGGCCAAGTTGCGATAATTAATAAGTAATGTATTGCCTTCTTTTAAAACTCCTAAGCGACAGAAAAATGCGTTCCAAATTTGTTTGAGGCCATCAGTTTAGTCTTAAATACATTACGAGATGCTACATACACCCTTAGTATTTTAGACAATGTGTGGGGGATAAATGAACAAAACAACTTTTTTTTTCAATTATTTTGTCAGTTATTCAAACAAAAGTTTTTAAATTGGCCTTAATTTGCGGTTCTGAAAATAACAAGACTGCTCATATCAGGGTAAAGCCTTCAATGCTGCAACTGCCTTTTGAGATCTATGGAGCAGTGTTTGCTATATTAAAAAAGTAATTTTTCAAAAAAAAAAGAACTTTTTTTCTTTTTTAAAAGATTTTATTAACACGCCATATAAGGTACAAAGCGATAGATTTCCCTCATAAAAACATAGATGTTATGTCAAATAGCCTGCTTCAACCAATTTGGAACAATTTAAAAGAGGGATGCGTTTGCGAAATAAATCCCAAGTTTGCGTTCCCAAATTCAATCTCTAAACCCTCATAGCTGTAAGAAAAATAATCACAGGTGAGTTTTTTTTCTAAAATTAAGCTCAAGACAACAATATTTTTCGGCTGATATAAAAAGTTTTGTCAAGACTTCCTAGATAAAAATTCGACATTTGTATGGAGAAAAAAACCACCCGAGCACAATTATTCCGCCACTTGCTTCGAAATTCGGAACAATTATGCTTGAAGTATGCCTGTTTTAAAATAGTTTTCACGAAGTTTAGGTTAACATTTTCTCCCAGATTCTCAAAGTTATTCCGAGAAAAATCCATTAATCAACCCCCCCCCCCCCCCAAAAAAAAATAAAAACTAACAAACAAAACTCGCGCCTAGGTATTAATTAAGACGCCCATATACTGTTTCTCTGCAAATGAGGTGCCTTCTTGTTGGTGCCTTCCTTTCTAGACAAAGTAGCCGTAAGATTCAGTCCGAGCTGAATGTCTTTTGATTGTTTCAAACCACGCTTAATTAAATTATGCTCTCGATCCTCAACTCGATATCGAGTAACTCGATCTTAGCACTGATTTTGAATTGCATAGAACAGTAAAAAAAAAACAAAGTATACTATATGGAATAAAAATATTTCACCTGTCACCTGTAATCAAAAACTCAAGCCTTAAAATCAATTTCTCTTTTTGTTCCGACTTTCGTAAAGAAAGTAACGGAATATTTGTGCTCGGGGTGTTTTTTTTTCTTCAGACAAATTTCGACTTTTTCACTGCCAGTTTTGGAATTTTTATATCATTCAAAAGGTATTGTTGTCTTGAGCTTAAATTTGAAAAGATATTTTACTACCAGTGATCTTTTTTCGTAAAGCTATGGGGGCGTTTGGCCAATTTGAGTCAATTAACGCGCGATATATTTCGCGCTATTAACGCGTAAGCGGAGATTTAATCCGTGTTAGAAATCGTTCCAAATTGGTCGAAAGAAATTGGTCTAATTTCCCGTAATTGATTTGTTACTAGGAGCGAAGTCTATCACTTTGTACTTTATATGGCGTGTGGGGATGATTTTCACAAAAAAATCTCAAACTAAAAAAAATCATTTTTAATCACAATCAATTTTTTCATGTTACTACTGCTCAATAGACCTCAAAAGTCAGTCGGAACATTCAGGGCTTCGCCTTGATACGAGCAGTCTTGTTATTACTTTACACCGGAAAAATGTTACATATTCTTTTAAAGTTCAAATTCGACTTTGGAGGAGATTGGGCTGTACAGCACGGGACTGTGGAGTGGCTCGGGCCCGGTGGGCTGCTCGATCGGGTGGTTCGCATTCGGAGTGGGGATGTCGCTGCTGTTCTGGGGCATAGTGAGAAGACGCAACCGATACAGTGTGAAGGAGGAGTTAGAATGGAAGTACCAGCCACGCGACGCCTCCGACGACATATGTAATTAATTAGTAGTAAAAAGTACGGGGGGGCTTGTTCACGTCACGAGGTGTGGAGGCTTGTTCTTTATTCGCGAGGGACCGAAAAATTTGTCAACCAATCAGAATTCACTATTCATAAATCCAAAAAAAGTTATGGCGGGATACAATCAGTCATTTGGACAGCGTGAAGGGAATTGATTGGCTGATAATTGTCGCGCGTTCGTTTCTTCGCGCATGAGAATAGCCTTTGAAGTTCGAACAAAAAAAATATTCAAAAGAGCAATTGAATTATTTGGAAACGTTTTGCATGCAAAGGCTAATTTTTTCCAGGCAAAATTCATATCTCAATATTTCAGAAACATCGAATTGGCATACAAAACTCTTTCAAAATGAAAACAGAGACCCTTTGAAATTATTTTCACTATCAAACACAAGCGGAGTTGAGCTTCAAGTCACTAGCAAATCACAACAAAAAACTATCAAGTAAAGAATTGAGATGAATTTCAAGCCAAAAATATCCATCAGCGATTGAAAAGAAAGAATATGCGAATTCGATACTAGAAAAAGCAGTTCAAAACCAGAAATTCTACTCGTCTCGTTATATGAATGTCTGCGAGAACTTTTGCCAATCTTGGCAGTTGAAACAATTGGGAATAATAAGTCAAAATCAGGGCAAAAAAATGAACAGAAAAAGCAATTATAAAAACGAGAATTTTTGGAACACATAAATCAAGCCATGAAACAAATATTACAAAAACACTGAATAAGTAAATCACAAATCTTCAAGATACCCAAATAGAAATCAAGGAAAAAAAGATCGTGAAAAAAGAATCGAAGAAGTTTCAACGGATTGACAACAAGCAATTATCTATTTCGTCTGCTGGTTAATAAGGATAGCGATTTTGAAGCACAGAAAAACTTTTTTCAACAGATAATTTTGATTTGAAGTTTAAAAAGCAAAAATATTGCTATCTCTCAGTCAGTGTGTGAAGTTTAACTTCAGGCCATAATCAATCGGGTTGACCAAAAATGCTAGTCATTCAATTTTCATATATGGAAAAATGCTAATAATACAGTTTTCTTGCAATTTCATTAGTACAGAAAGTTGCATGAAAGGTCTATGATTAGTGACTTTTCATATATGGAACTTGCATGACTAACATTTTTCCATTACCAAAAAAAAATAAATTTTTCAAAGCTCAATTTCTCTAAACTTTTGATGAGTTCGTAAGCAAACAAAAATGACAAAAACCATGGTTTGCTCAAAAAAACAGTCACCAAAGGTTTGGCGTCTTGCATTTAGAATGCATTGGAAACTATCTTAATCGTCTAAGAGTTGATATACACAAATCATATACTGAAAAAAATCAAACTTTTAAGTTTTCGCAAACGTTTTGAAAGATGATCATTTTTAGTCTTTGAATTTTTTATTACCCAGATATTGATCAAGGCATAAAAACATAAGAGTTTTGAGCTTTTTTGAAAAAAATATACTGAAAAAGGTAGAAAATCCATTTTTTGTGAATACAGGACTCTTTTATGCACATAAAAATTTAAATTTTGCATGCAAAATTTCTTTTTCGGAAAATGTTTGTTCGACTAAAAAATTCGTTTTGCGGTTAAAAAAAAGAAAACATGTTTGGAGCAATTTCAAAATTACCTGAAAAATTTTTGTTGTCGCTATCGAAAAAATGCTAGTCATTCAATTTCCATATATCGAATTTATCTGATTAGCTTTTTTGACAAAATGTTTTTCTTTTTTGTTTAGTTCGATAAACCGACTTTTATGTCCAAGCAAGACAAAATTTGTTTAAATTCGATGACACCATTTTAGCAAAACGTATGAAATTTGTATTATTAGTATTTTTATACACTTAGTGAATGGAATTGTATGACTATCTTTTTTGGTCCATGGAGGTCAACCCGGGTATCTTCTCAAGATTCCGTTAATTCGCGTAAATATTTTCCAGAGAGCAAAAAAAAACTTGAAGGAGCCATTTTTGCTTGTCATTACGAGGCCAAAATGTATATTTTGTGAATTCTTAGCAGATTCCCCAACAAGGACGCTCTCTTTGTTTTTCTTTTGTTCTTTCATTTTCTTTGATTGTTCCGACTAAGTTTTAACATGTTTAGAGATTTGTCTCTGGATTACAGAGGCAACAAACACCAAATTGTGCGCCTATCCAGTTTGGCATCGCGATGGTCTATGTTGATTTTTAAGATAAGGCTTGTTTGACATCTTTTGATGTCTCTCTGACCTATTAAAGGAACATTCTGAGGCAGAAAAAAAATCAATTTTGATTTAAGAAAAAATCAGGCAAAACCGAAAACTATACTTTTAAAATGTCTACTTTTGTCACCTAAATGAAAATGTAGAACACAATTTGGACATTGTAATGTAGAACAAGGTTGAACATTGTAATCAAACCCCCGGGTTGATCAAAACTTCTTATCATACAATTTGCGTATATGAAAAAATTTTTAGCTTTTAGCATACAATTCTATACAATGCCATAGGTACAGAAAATTGTATGATAATTTTCAAAGCTTGAGTTTTTAATTATTCATGGGTTGATCGAGGCATACATAAACATGCCATACAAAGTAGGGAGCCGTTTTAAGCGTTTTTGAAAAAAAAAACTTCCAGAGAAACTGAAAAAAAATCCAAATTTTGTGTATCCAGGATTAATTTATGCACAAAAATAATTAAATTTTGCATGCAAAAAAAAATTGGAAAATGTTTGTTTGCGAACTAAGCTCGTTTTGCGGTTGAAAAAAATATAAAAAAGTGCTAGTCATACAATTTTCATATATAGGAATTGCATGATAAGCTTTTTTTTTTTTCAAAAAAAACCTCAGTTTTTTACTCACCAGACTGTTTTAATAGAATCAAAAGCCGAAGAAAATAGTTAACATCTTTTTTCAACCATTTCATGAAATTGTATAAAAATTGTATGACAAGCAGTTTTACATATTCTTGACGTATGGAATTGTATGATAAGCATTTTCGGTGTATGGAGGTCAACCCGGGCCCTTAGTGTTTCTCTGAAATCCCAAGTGTCATTGGAAAGCAAATCCTTACAAGGTTCTTGCAACAAATTTTGATTGGGAACACAGGTATCTTGTTTTTTTTTGATATTCAAAATGATGATTTAGTGTAAAAACTAGCCAAGTAAAATCCAATAACTTTGAATTTATAAAATGAAAAAAAAAACATCGTGCAACTAGATTTATGAGAAATTGCTCAATACATACTCATGATAAAACCAATTTACAGAGCGTTAGTCACTCTAAATTACATGATTTCAAATAGATTTCAATCTTATTTTGAAGTGTTCACAGGCGCTTTTGAGGATCTGGACTGCAAAGGAGGTCAACCGAGTTCATATTCAAGTGAGAGTGGCAGAGACAGTTTCTACAGTCGCTTCTATGACCACAGCAACTCATATGACGCCGAGGAAGGAGAATGTAAGGGGGAGGCCGAGGGGGAAGGGGAGGAGGAGGGGGAAGGGGAGGGGGAGGAGGAGGGGAAAGGGGAGGGGGAGAGAGATGGAACCCCTAAAGACAACGACGACGACTCAGCATATCAAACTGGTATGAAGGATAAAACGTTTCAGTGCCCTTAATCTTCGCTAAAATACGATTTGTAACATGGAGCTTATCAATTGTGGTTTTGCGATTCGCAGAGAATCTATGAAAGGCTATCCGCGACTTACGAAAAGACTGACGGCGCGACTCAAGAAAAGACTTTAGCGGCGCGACTTACGAAAAGACTTTACAGGGGCAGTCTATGAAAATGCTGACGGCGCGACTTCAGAAAGACTGATGGTGCGCCTCGAGAAAAGACGTTTGGTGTTTTGCTCAGTCGCGTAAGTCGCGAAGGTTTATTCTCAGTCGCGCCGGGCCGAAATTGAAAACTTTGCGCCATTTTGAGTCATTTCCTTAAGTCGCGCCAGTCCCGACTGACGGGTTTTTGAGTTGCGTCGGTCGCGGTGGTTTTTTTTCAACCGCTTAAGCCAGGCCAGTCTGGAAACGCCCGGGTTCTCTTATTTTCCCATCACTCCCGACTCAATTAATTTGTTGAGCGAAGCTCTGTTTTTTTTTACGAACAAAGGCTGATTTTTTGAGCTTAGAACTTTCAAGTGGTATCGTCAAGCTGTAGTAGATCTGAAGCTAGAGGTCAAGTGAGAGCTCGTCCTCACACACTATCATTGCCATGGCAGGGGATCAAATACACGATCTGACGATATAAATGTAACGTCATAACACTATGCTGTGCCTCGAAATTCAAAATAACACTTTAAAACTAAATGAAAACAAGGATAGCCGGTTACTGTGCAAGTAGCACAGAATAATCCGACCAGTCTTAAATAAAAACAAAAACAAAGTTTTTAAAAATCAGTGCCGTTTCTTCTGCGTAATGTGATAAAAAGATCTGACCAAAAAAACAGAGTTTGGACGTCTTCGACATTCTTAGTAAGACGCCCATTTGAAAAACAGTTTTGGTAGAAAAAATGACTACAAAAATTTAAAAAAAAAAACTTTCAAAAAATGTTTCAAATTTTTTTTACAGAAAGTTTTGGATACCTCAACGTCGCTAAAAAAAATCAAAAAAGTAATTTTACCAGAGTAAAAAAAAATTTTCATCGCTTGAATAAAGCATAAACAAGCTGTTGTAAGCCTGCTTAGCCTCACTTTATTAGCTTGAAAGTAGACTAAAAATGCAAAACTTCAATTTAATTTTTCTCGACGCCGAGCATTTTTCAAAAAATTTTTTAGTGTCGTTCGAATCAGGACTAAAAAGGCTTTAATATGATATATTCACCTACATATTCCAATAATTTATTATGGGAATGATTTTGCGTGGAAAACAAAAACAAAAGAAAAAATAAAACACCCGATACAAAGTTCCTCCACATTTTTCAAATGGTCGGAACAGGATCAATTTAAAATATTACTTATGTGCAAGTCATGCTGTCTACAAAGTTTAGGTAATCTTTAATAACAATTTCACGAGGGGGTGGAGAAACAGGAAAAAAGGTTAAATAGGAGCTCAAAAAACTGAATTAGGTTGACCATAGAAAAGTTCTAGATCCACCCCTGAAAAAAAATCTCCTAAAATTCTTGTAATCCATGCTGCTTGAAGTATTCAACTAAAATTGATGCTTACATGGACAACATTATATTTCAATTTCAAAAAGCGATCGTTGACTGTCAATATCTATTTTTTTGCGAGCCCATATTTTGGACCAAAGCTCCTAAACTTTAGAAACTATAGATACTTTACGCAGCAAAAAGTAGACAGGTCATTAAGCCAATCAGAATTTCGTTCGTTTCTTTTCTTGTCTCGGTTCTGATTGGCTTACGACGTAGCTACTTTATAACCACACTTCATAGATAGTGCAAGGTTCTGGCAAACAAGGTTAAATAGAAATTCATGGTCAACTTCTGTCTTCTTTTGTGGCTTTGTTGACAAATTCATGATTTATTAAACAGATGCGATCAGCACCCGAAGTCCCAATGGCGACCAAGATACCGACTGGGAAGACCAAGACCACCCGACCGACCTGAAAAGTCAAACCGAAAGACTCTCCGCCGACAACGGCGGGTTGGAAAACATCGACGAAGATCCCAGCTCGGACAACACTCGAATGGCTAGTCGGTTCAAATACGAAGGTTATTCGGGTCCATTCCAGGAAAACAAGCCGCGAGAGGAGTTCGAGCTAAATGGCGAACACTACAATTCGCTCAAATCCAACCAGTCAATTCCGACAGATGATACGAACCTTTCCCTGTGACGTCACCATATCATATCCAAAATTACATCATAAGTGTGACATCATATCTCATTCAAATCTGCATCATGTGTTACGTAATCAACGAGGCGAGCTCTCAAAAAAGGAGCGCCTTTGCAACAGTATATAGCGCAAAAGAATGAAATTGAGTGTTAGGATTCAGTTTGAACGAATTAATACTTGTAGCAAGGTTTTCTGACAGCAATAAACATCTATAAGGCTCTTTTTATTAATATTCCTTAAGAAAAACGAGTTTCAAGACATGAAAATGATGAATTGTAAAATGAGCGGTTAACTTTTTTTAATCTAGTTTACGTGCCAAGGCTCTTTCCAGTTTCCCAACCCCCCCAATCCCCCCCCCCCTCGGAAAATTAAGCTGATTAAAAAATGATCACTCGGCGTTTTGCATGTAAGAAATGTAAAAACTTGTTCACTTGTTCACGCTGACACGTTTTAATGCAGTTTATATTGAGAAAAGTTATTTCAAATTGATTTCCATATATTGAATTTCAGAAAAATCAAAGGGGGGGGGGACTGGAAAAGAGCCCGTGCCAAAATGATGAAACAGATTACTGCGGTTTTTACTTGCAATCTGTGTCAAGTTTCGTTCGAAATAAATTTTGATTTCCCTCCTGGTTGAGGTCCGCGTTTTATGTCTAGACTTTCGGGACCAATTTAGATCCGTCAGTACATTTGAGGCTTATTTCTAAATTTTTACCAGACATTCTTTAGTATAGCTCTGTTTGTCTATCTGAGACAGGGGTAGATCTAGGACTTTCTCGAGGGGGGGGGGGCGACATTTTGCCGACATTTTTTTTAGGTCGACCAAATTGATTTTTCGAGCTCTCCCAAAGCTATAGGTAACCTGTTTTGGCTAAAATGTCTGCGCCGCAGTCAGAGTTTTGAAAAAACGGGCCCGAAAAGGCGTTCTTAGGCAGTTTTGGGCAAAAATTTGACCCGAAAAATTGCATTTTTTGACGCGCGCTTCCCCTTCAAAATTAGTTTATATTGGCGCCCAAGGCGCCTTTAGAAAATTTTTAGTGTCCGTCACCAAAAATGGATATCTCAAACTAGTACATAGGGGACCCTTTGGGTCGGCAGGGGGTCGAATCCCTGAGGAAAAAAGGCGTACGCCCCCCGCCCCCCACCCCCTAAATCCGCCCCTAATCTGAGCAAAATAAAAATAGCGCCAAGTATCTACATAAATATATCATAGATCGCAATCAGCGTGATTTATAGTAGGTAAAATTCATGAAGAAGCATATGAATTTAAAAGAGTGTATAAATAGGATCAACCGTGCAATTCGCCCCCCCCCCCCCCCCATCGAATTAGGGGGGAGAAAATATGGTTTTTTCTTAAACTAACTTTTAGTATAGCCTAGATTCGTTCAAAATTAACCGTTTTACTTAAGAATTGTTACATTAATTGATCCGATTAATAGATATAAATTACAGTAAGATGTTATGGATCTTTTTAACCATTTCGGATGTCACTATTTTTCAATCCGTGTCGCTCTGTTACAATTTTCCTCAAGCTTAAAATAATTCGCAATTTTTCAACGAAGAAACTGAACAAAAAACAAATCATTTTTACGGAAAGTATGTTCAACTGAATCGCACTGGTTGAACAATTTTCTGAATGTTGTGACGTTCTAGCTTGAAAAGAATTCTGTCGTTTCGAATTTATTGCAGGTTTTTTTATGGATATATTTTTCAACTTCTTGCTCACTCAGAAAAACTCCAATAATAGCCTTTAAACTAAAAAAACCTTATTAGCTTTTTTTGATCAGTACAAACTCACTGATTTGCGGCAATTCAAAAATTCACTGTTTTTTGGGTTTCGAAAACACTTGGTACTTGTCGCTTTTTTGTTTGCTTTCAATGCAGAACAATATAACCAGTCCACTCAACTGGCAACATAACTTCTTTTGATATCGATGAAACTATTTGAAAAAAGTATGGATTTATTTTAAGGAAACCGAACTTCAAAAAATCAATCGTCAAACTTGTGTTTGCAAGTTTAAGGAAATTAAGATCTTTTTCATCTATATGATTTATTTATTCATTTATTTATCAATTAACTTATCGAAATACAAAACTGATATTTGAAAAACTTTATTTAAAAGCATACTGTAATGATCGCTTTCAAACCAAACATCAAAGTACCTTTTTTATCACTGATTTCATAAAACTGATAACTACGTTTTGAAAAAAAAACCTGAAAATATTCTTGACCAATATCAAGCTGCCTCATATTTCTCAGTTGGGAAAAGTTGGAATGAATTGAACAAAAAAATTCTGTAGTAAAGCTTTTTAAAGTGCTCTGAGTTTTCCTATTGTTGATAAAAGAAAAAATTATAAGTTCTTAAAACAAAAAAGGTGCAGTTTTTTTTGCGCGCAAAGTCAGAAAAAAAGGATACAGTTTGCACATAAAAACGCTAAAATGGTTTGAAAATAGCTATTTGTTAAGAAATATTATTCTAAAATGAAATGAGACATGCTAATCAATCTAACTGTTACATTGTTTAAGGCAAAATAAATCAATTTGTACTAAATATAGTGTATGAAGCGTATTTTTTATTTCTAAAAAAATGTCAAAAAGTTACATGTTTTTGAAGTTTATCTAATATCTATTCCAAACTAAAAATTATTTCGTATGCTTTTGCCTTGATACGAGCAGTTTTTTCAGCATTGAATTATTTGTGTTTTAAATTAAGAATGTATTTAAAGGATTGTCCCTGCGAAAGTTCCTGAGCAATGCATATGGGAGAAAAAAGTAATCGCCAACTACGAAAGTTGATCAGAAAAAGACATTAGTTCATATCCGTTCGTGTTGCTGACTGATCCAAAAATGAGATAGTTGCCTTGTCTGTTATGTGAATTTTTTTTATATTGGATAGTTTTAACCATTTATAAAAAAAAAACATTTTTTTTTTATCAGAGTCAGCTCATATTGGAACTCATTCCCAGTGTAAGAGAGCTGAGTTTGGATCACAGGACAACCACGAAAAATTATGGCTCCTCTAAGATGTTTTTTGCGAAATTCTTCAAAAACCAACCCAGAAGATGTACAGAAAATTATCCTTGAACTCATCAATTCCAAGAAATTGCTGCTCATTTTAAAAGAGATTTCAACCGAGAGGCGAAGCTGAGCTTCGCACCATTTGCAATTCAAAAAAAAAAATGATTAGGTGTAAAAACAAATAAAAAAACGAAAATTGAAAAAAAACTGTTTTCGTCAATTTCTTTTAAAAAAATTGCAACAAAAGCCCAAAATATCCTCAAAACAATTGCAATCAAACAATAGTCCGAAAGAGTACAAAAAAAGGTCTTAGCTGGATTCGAACCGCAAGCCTTTTTCGTATCAATCAGGTTTGTTACTTGCTTGCAAGGTTGGTTGACTAATTTTGAACTTATTAAAAGCAAGTGTATATGTTAACAAAACTAGTTACGGAAAAAATCTCATACGCGGTTGTAGCACCTTTGCTTATCGCAAATGTAAAAAAATAATAGAAAATAAAATAACTCAATTTTCTTACAGGAAATGATTTGAGAAACCAAATTCACCAAATTCATCAATCGAAACTCACACAACAGTAGTCTCATTATCTCACAAAAAAATCACCTGTGGTTGCTATGCAAAAAGGACAAGGAAATTCTGATCAGAGAGAAAAGAAAAACAAAAGAAAACGGTTTAGTATTTCAAGTATAGTCGTTTCTCATTCAAAGTCCGACAATAAAATCTTATTAAAAGCTTAGAATTTGGGTATATTCAATGGTAACAGTAATTTAGGCAAGTCTGAAAACAATTTGGATAAAATGGTTTATGAGTTTATGAAAGCTGATTTTTTTGGTTTCTTAAAAAATTTTCTGAAGCAGTGGCGCTAAACGACTTTTTTTATAGTAATTTTACCTAAGAAAAACTGTTGTAAGCCCATTAGTAAGCCTGCTTGTTTGCAGTATTCGCTCATAATTAGATTAAAAATCAAAAAAAAATTTCGATTATTTTAAGTTCATTTTGAATTACGGCTGAATGGTTTTCGTTATGATAAATCACGCAACTTATTTTGATGTTGATTGTTTTTTCATGGAAAATGAAGAAAAAAAATGGAAGCGAACCCTAAAATAAATTTCCTCTCCAGTTGCCATGATCAGAACGTTCAGTTTTATACTAATGCCAAATTTTTGGTAAAACTGGTCTTGAATAAAATAATGGTTTAAAAACGGCTTTTTAAGGGTTAATTAGTGCTGAAATAGTTTTTAAAAAGATGTCAGACGCAAGCAAAATTAGTTTTAGCATATCTAAGATCGTAGATTTTCCTTGATTGCTAAGGACATTGCAAGCAAAATGGCACTAATCATATTCCAGTTTGATTTCTACATCAAAATTTTTTGAAATGTCCTACCAAAGTTTCTTTCATTTTTTGTTCCGACGATTTGTATATTCTGGAAGAACTTAGCAGGTAGTCGGGTGTGTTTCATTTTTTTCTGTTTTTTCTTTGGTTCTCCACGCAAAATCAACTAACTACAAATAATCATCGGAGAGAGTTGAGAGATATATTATTTAGAAGCCCTTAAGTCGTGATTCAAAAAACATTTAATAATTTCAAAAAATATCCCAGGGTCGACAAGAACCGATTCGACATTTTTGGTCTTTCGAATTAAAACGAGCGAATAAAGCGAGCGAGCAGGCTTAGAATAGCCTATTTTAATGGCTTAAAAGCTTACAATAGTTTAACTTATAACGTAAAAACTTAATTTCACTCGAATAACGTTAGTTTTTTAAAGTATTTAAGCGCCTTTATGGAATCAAAAATTTCAAAAATTCAAAACTGCAAAAAAACTTACTGTAGAATATGCCTAAGCTCTAGATTTTTGTTCAGATCTTTTTATCTCACCACGCCGAAAAAAAACCGTAATTTAAAAACAGTAACCGACACAGGAACCGACTATGAACCGACTTACTGGAACAGTAACCGACTAACCTTGTTTCACTTCAGGCACTGTTTTGGCAAAACCATTCTTCTTCGGTCAAAACAATATTAACAGCAAGGTCAAAATTATACACAAACACCCAAACATTAGGTCATAATAACAGGCAGTCGCTTCTATTGAAACATCCTTCAAAAAGCCATAAGGTGAAGACGATTCATTGTCCTTGAGACACTCAATTTCTTATTGTTTATTGTTAATAGTTTATTTTTACACCCTGGTC